ATGGATCACTTTGTATATATTCATCAAAACCAAGATTTTTTGAACGATCAGAATCTAAATAAATAAAAGATAAATATTAGATTTCAAAATTGATGTTATTATTAACCTGAAAGATCTTTTTGTCCTGATGTTGAATTTGATTTATTAATCTGTGTTATTGGTGGTGTTGGTTTATGTGATTGACCAGTAGCACGATATAATGCTTGTACCCAACTATGTCGTTCATTTTCTTCATTTGTTGCAAATGTAACAACATCACCTTCACGTACAACTGTAAAAAAATATTTTCCATCATGCATTATTAAACCTTTCAATAGTCAAATATTTATTTATTTATTTATTTTTATTTATTTTATTTCTTTACCATTATCAGGTTCAGCATAATCAACAGTATAACCTTCAAGTGGCATCATTTCAGTTGGTTCGGATTTTCTTTCACGATACCTACATGTTGCAAAACAATATTGAGATACCTGAAAATCATTTTGTTTTTGTCATTTATTTAATAAACATATATTAATTTCTATTTGTTAAATCAATCACAAATTATTTTCTTTGATATATATATAAATGAAAAAATCTAACTCGAACTGTTATCTTATTAATAAATTCATTAATATTATCTCTCTAGAATACATTCAACAAAGTTAATATTTACATTGAATACCCTCGATGATAAATTTATTATTCTATATATAATTTCAATAGTAAACACTTGAGATTTCAAACAAATATTCTTCAATGCCAAACTAATCCTTTTCTTCTATACCAAAACCAAATTCCTATAATCACACGTTTTTTTTTCTATTGTCTACTTAATCAATATTTCATATTGAATATTTATTCAATATATATATATAGATGACAATTGACACTTGTTAATTATCGTTTTTTTTATTTTGTTTATTTGAATAAATATTAAATCTAAGAATTATTTACCTGAACAAATGCATAATATCGTCGTTTCCATGTTTTCCATACATTTTTTCCTCTAGCATAGCACCATCTTTGAATAATAAAAGAAAAAAAAAATTGGTAAAAATTGTTTAAAATATTGTACGAAATGTAACCATACCCACACATTTTAAGATTTTGTGGTTTTTCCATTCTAACATCTAATTTAACTTTTAATTGTTCATTTGATGTATATTTAGATTTAATCATATCAATCCACCAATTTGTTTTATTAAAAGTGGGATCAATTTGTAAAGATAATTTTCCAAGTTTATTTTCATCTAAACTAAGTAAACCAGGATTTTCCATAAAAAGTTTAACTTTAATAATGGGTAAAATTTGATTTGTTGGAAATTCAGCTAAAGATTCCCAAACAGATTTTCCAGCTTCAGCATGTTCAGTTCGATATTTTTCTCCTCCTTCAACTTCCATTGTACAATAAACAATACGATTTGTTGGAATTGATTTTAAACCACGTACTTCTTTACATGTTATATTAACATTAAAATTTAAAACGAATGCTAATTCTGATAAACCAGCATCATTCTCTTCAAAATTTGATTCATTATATAATGATTTATTTGATGAATAACGCCTGGGCCGAAAGTTTTCAGACAAAATGTCTACCTCAAAAAAGGAATCTAAAAGCTTAAATAGATATCTCATTTTTATACCATTTTGTAGCCCGTCTGATCCTCTTTCTAGATATATATAATAACTTTTCGACGATGAGTCCCTTATGTGTCAAAACGAGTCAATCTTCCAAGATGTGTCTATGCCCTACTTGGACGAATGAGCAAAGCTAATATTGTGAAACATTTTCAAATGGAGAACATTCCACGTCCAACTATTTATTGTATTATTAAACGTTTCGAACGCGGTATGTCATGTGAGGACAAACCAAGAAAAGGTCGCCCGTGCAAACTAAATAAGAAGCAACGAAAAAAGTTGAAAGATTACGTCGAAAATCGTGTTGGCGTTAGTTAACGAAAGTTGGTCACAAAATTTAAGGTCTCACGGTCGTGTATTCGACGAAATTTAAAGAAATTAGGTCTAAAATATTACAAGAGGAAACGAGCGCCAAGATACAGTCCAGAACAGCTCGAACAAATACCGAACAAATGTCGAAAACTACGGCGAGAATTGACAGATCGTGAAACAGTCATCATCATCGATGACGAAAAATACTTCACATTTTCGGGCGACAATATGCCTGGAAACGCTGGATTTTACTCATCTAACAAAGCTGCTGCTCCACCTGATGTGAAATTTAGATCCAAGCAAAAATTTGCAACAAAAATTTTGGTCTGGTTGGCATTATCCAGCAAATGCATCTCAGCACCATACATCGGATCGATGAAAGGACCAGCAATCGATGCCGACGTATATATTGAAAAATGTCTACCAAAACTATTGACATTTATTAATGAATACCATCGACATGATAAATATATTTTCTGGCCGGATCTTGCCAGTTCGCATTATGCCAAAAAGACAACTGAATGGCTTAATGAACAAAAAATACCCTTCGTACCAAAACGCTTCAATCCGCCAAATGTTCCAAAAGCTAGACCAATCGAGGATTTTTGGTCAATGTTGGCTAATAAGGTGTACAATAATGGTTGAGCAGCTGCGAACGAGAAACAATTGTCCAACAGAATAAAAAGACAATTGAAAAAAATCGATTTCGAAGTCGTTCAAAAGATGATGAATGATGTTCGTGGAAGATTACGACAAATTGAAGACAATGGAACGTTTTCTATCTTGTAATAAAGTGTTTTTTCTATCTTGTAATGATGTGTTTTTTATCTCATATCATTGTAATTTCGAGAAGAAAATAAGAAAATAAAAGCAAAAGACGATGCAGTAATAGGTACTTTACTTTTATCTTATTAATTTCAACCCTTCTCTTATTTGCTATTTGAAAATGTTTCACAATATTAGCTTTGCTCATTCGTCCAAGTAGGGCATAGACACATCTTGGAAGATTGACTCGTTTTGACAAATAAGGACTCATCGTCGAAAAGTTATTATATATATCTAGAAAGAGGATCAG